CCCCCCCAGACCCCCCTGGGGCCCCTCTGAGGCCCCCACCTGGGAGATGAAGGGGCTGATCTGGTTCTTGATCTGCATGAGCCAACCCACTCTCTGCTCCTAACCCCCAAAACCCACCTCCTCTCAGCTTGGGGAGACCCCAAACCCCCTGGGACCACCCCAGACCATCCTGGGACCACCCCAGACCCCCCTGAGGCCCCCACCTGGGAGATGAAGGGGCTGATCTGGTTCTTGATCTGCATGAGGCGGCCCAGGCCCCTCTCCACGATGGTGGGGAAGTTGAGCAGCCGCAGCGTGTGCCCCGTGGGGGCCGTGTCGAAAACCACCACGGAGAAATTCATGCCCTTCACCAGCCTGGGGAGGGGGTTTAGAGGCAGATCAGCAAGGCCATAACCCCCCACACAGGCCCCCCAAGCCCCCTCACAGAATCATAGAATTATAAAATCAACTGGGTTGGAAGGGACCTCTGAAATCATCCAGTCCAACCCTTGATCCAACCCCGCCGTGGTTCCCAGCCCATGGCACTGATGCCACATCCAGTCTTGTCTTAAACACCTCCAGGGATGGAGAATCCACCCCCTCCCTGGGCAGCCCATTCCAGTGCCTGATCACCCTCTCTGCAAAGAAATTCTTTCTAATATCCAACCTAAACCTCTTAAGACCCTGAGCCCTCTTGTCTTGCTGATGGTTGACTGGAAAAGAGACCAACCCCCCCCTGGCTCCCCCCTCCTGTCAGGGAGTTGCAGAGAGTGAGGAGGTCTGTCCTGAGCCTCCTCTTCTCCAGGTTGAACAGCCCCAGCTCCCTCAGCCTCTCCCAGAATCACAGATTTACAGAATCAGCCAGATTAGAAGGCACCTCTGAGATCATCAAGCCCAACCCTTGATCCAACCCCGCTGTGGTTCCCAGCCCGTGGCACTGATGCCACATCCAGTCTGATCCTAAAAACATCCAGGGACAGAGAATCCACCACTTTCCTGGGCAGCCCATTCCAATGGCTGAGCACCCTCTCTGCAAAGAAATTCTTCCTGATATCCAACCTAACCCTCCCCTGCCACAGCTGAAGACCCCGAGCCCTCTTGTCTTGGGAAAAGAGACCAACCCCCACCTGGGTCCCCCCTCCTGTCAGGGAGTTGCAGAGAGTGAGGAGGTCTCCCCTGAGCCTCCTCTTCTCCAGGCTGAACAGCCCCAGCTCCCTCAGCCTCTCCTCACAGCACTTGTGCTCCAGACCCTTCCCCAGCCTTGTTGCTCCCCTCTGGACCTGCTCCAGCCCCTCAATGTCCTTCTTGAACTGAGGGCCCAGAACTGGACACAAACACTCCAGGGGTGGCCTCACAGGGGCAGAATCACTTCCTTGGACCTGTTGGCCACACTGTTCTTGCTCCAAGCCACGATCCATTGGCCCTCTTAGCCTCACTGAACTCACATTCAGCTTCCTGTCGATGCCTTAAGACCCTTTTAGTTTCTTATTTTTCTAGTTTTGTAAGCTTTATAAGCTTTACAAGAAGCAGAAGCAGCAGCTCTTCTTCCCTAACCCTACAGCACAGGCAATTTACACATTGCTTAACTTTCTCACCCCATTCTGTACTTTTCATATCAAATCTACCCCTGAATTCAGTAAAAATGTTTAATCTTTTGTCAAGGGAAGGCCTCTGCTGCTTGGAGAACACTCATGTCTTGCCCTGAACAACAGAACAGAGTCAAGAACTGGGTGACCCTGCACCCTTTGTGCTCTGAGGATAACGAGAACGATGAAGAGGTGGTCCCAAAAAGCCCCCAGACCCAATTCCCAGGGGGTGGACCAGAGCAAAGGCAAGAGGATGGACAAAACTTGGATTGGTTGGGTAGTTGGGAGAAATCCAACCCCTTCACCAGCCCAGGAGGAAATCAGGGAGGGACAGGACCCCCTTGCTCAGCCCTGGGGGGAGGAAATCAGCAGGGCTGGACCCCCAAAAAGCCCCCCCAGGCCTCACCTCATGACCTCAGCGTAGCTCATGGCCTCGTCGATGCCGGGGAAGGCGCTCATGGCCTCCTGCATCATCTTCTTGCCCATGCTCAGCACGTTGTCCTCCTCGAAGAACTCGTCAGGCAGCTCGGCCACCCCCAGGCTGGGGTCGATCTCCTGTTAAGGGGGGGGTCAGCACTGCCCAGGGACCCCCAAAACCCTCCCAAACCCACCCAGAAAACGTCCAAGCACTTGCTATAAAACCTTCCAAAAACTATCCAAATATCTTCTGAGAAACCTTCCAAAAACTACCCCAAAACCTCCCCAAAAATCTCCCCCAAAAGCCTCCCCTAAAATCCTCCCAAACCCAGTCAAAAACCGTCTGAACATCTGCTACAAAACCTTCCAAAAACCATCCAAAAACTTCCCCCAAAACTCTCCTAAAACCCCTCGGGCAGCTCGGCCACCCTCAGGCAGGGGTCGATCTCCTGTTAAGGGGGGGGTCAGCACTGCCCGGGGACCCCCAAAACCCTCCCAAACTCACCCAGAAAACGTCCAAGCACCTGCTATGAAACTCTCTGAAAACCAGCCCAAAATCTCCGCCAAAACGCTCCCAAACCCAACCAAAAATCGCCAAATATCTGCTAAAAAAGCTTTCAAAAACCACCCCAAAACCTCCCCAAAAACCTCCCCCAAAACCCTCCCACACCCAGCCAAAAACCCACCCAAAACAGTCCAAACAGCTGCTACAAAAGCTTCCAAAAGCCAACCCAAAACCTCCCCCAAAACCCTCCCAAACCCAGTCAAAAACTGTCCAAATCTCTGCTACGAAACCTTCCAAAAACCATCCAAAAACCTGCCCCCAAACCTCCCTCAAAACCCTCCCAAACCCAGTCAAAAACTGTCCAAATCTCTGCTATGAAACCTTCCAAAAACCAGCCCCAAACCTCCCCTAAATCCTCCCCCAAATCCTCCCCCAAAACCCTCCCAAACCCAGCCAAAACTGTCCAAACATCTGCTACAAAACCTTCCAAA